CAGTCAAAAAAGAGTGAAAATTAAGAGCCAATATTTTCCAAGAGATGCCTTGAGTGTATCCAGGGGAGCCTCAAGTCTCAAAAGGTTGAGAACCAGTGGTCTACACTATTGCATGTCCATGCATAGTCACTAGTGCTTGTTTGGATTTGCATTGATGTTCTGTGCAATTGTTTCAATGGCTTTTCTGTTTTGACCAGTTGCCCTAAGACTTTATGACAGCAGCTTAAATATCCTGGCAGTGACTTTGATGATTTCACTCCTGGGTAGTGGGTTCAGAACTGAGCTAAAAGTCTGGTGCCTTGAGTAAGATGGACACCTTAGAGGCAGTGGGAGCAAACTTTTTTGGCAAGCATGCCACAACTAATCCTGCACCTTCCTGGAATGTCACTCCAATCCACTTCTTCTGCCAGATCTGTTGCCTTGCTTTCTGCTCCCTGTCCTATCTCCTGCTGTGTTTGCTACTCCCTCCCCTATCTGCCATGTGTTTTATACAGACACTGTCTGCGCCACTTGCTGCATGTGTGCCCTGCCTTAGGGCAATGTGGGTCCCAATCAGATTTAACAGTACAAAAACAGAAAGGGGTGTTACATACTTACATTTCCCATTCAAATGGGACAACATTCGGATGATGAAGTTGAAGATGATGCCCTGGCAAGTCAATTCAGCCAAGTTTGTCTGCAGAGCAGGGACTTAAAGCAGTAGAATTTTTTCAGAAAAACAAAGAAATTAGGAGTTTATACTTGGTCTTAAAAGCTACATGGCCTGGAAGACTTGGCAAAGAAGGAATTCAGAAAAGCTACTTACAAGCAGAGTGCCTTGGGCAGAGAAGAGGAAGAGAAGGGCGTGACTTCATAACAGGGCTGGCTTAAGTGCAGGACCAGCTGAGGAAGAAGAAGAATTGTGCTGGAAAAAGAGAAACTCCATGATTAGAAGGATGTATTGTAAAGGAGGGGAGGATCTGGGGCTCCTTAGAAGACACTCTTCTTATCACAAAGAGTACTCAAAAGTAGTGAGGAAACAGAAGCAGCTAAATGTGTATAGGAATTTATTATTTTGTTTAGACCTGCATACAAAGGGACCTATTGGTGGGAGTCTACTATAGACCCCCTA